TAAAACCCTAGCCTGGGCAATTCAGCAACTTACCAAGTCCCTGTCTCAAAACAAAAAGCAAAAATACGAAGAGCTGGGGATGTAGCTCAGTGTAAACACCATGAGTTCAATCCCCAATAACCAATTAAAAAAGAATCCCTCTTAACTAAATGGGCAAATGTAGGCATTCTTTACAAACTCTCTATACCAAATATCTTCATGTGACTGGTTTCTCATACTTCTAGTAAATTCTTCCATATTCATGAAACATAAATTCATGAAGCAGTAATAACACCTTTTATAAAAATACATTAAATTCTTTTTATTAAAACAATATGGCTCATTAAAATTGCCTTTTCTATGAAAAGTGCCTCCCTTTCAAGGTGAAACAAAGGACACTGTGTTCATAAGCATCCTGGCTGCTACGGTGCTGAATTTCTAAACCACTTTGTGACCATTCAGGACAGCATAGGTTGCTGGACAGACACAGAGAACAGGTCGCCTTCAGAGTCTCTCTTTTAACTATCAGAAACATTGTCCACACTGTTTATCCAGTGGGTCAACAGTAATACGTCAAGTCAGCACTGAACCTAGGCTGTCCTCTGTATGGAAGTCTCTGGTCAACCAGAAGATTTCCACTTTTATAGCTTCACTATTTTGAGTGGCACACAACAACTTTTCTTAATGGGAATCCCATGGCATGGAGCATAACAAATAAATTTTAAAACAAACTATCCCAATGGATATTTACCAGAGAGCGGGTAATGAATCTGGTGTCATGCATCTTAAGAGTTATGGCCAAGGGGCCATCCATGGGTGAATGAATAAACAAAATGTGGTGTGTGCCGACCATGGAATAGTATACAGCCTTAAAACAGAAGGAAACTCTTATGCATATGCTACAGTGTGGATGAACATGAGAACATTACGCCAAGTGAGACAAGCCAGTCATAAAGGGACAAATGTTGCATGATCCCACTTACATGAGATTCCTAGAATCATTAAATTCAGAGACATAAAGTAGGACGGCAGTTGCCAGGGGCTTGAGGGAGTTGTGAATAAAGAGTATTTTAAAGGTGTTTCAGTTGACGGAGACAAAAATATGCTAAGGCTGAACTGTGGTCATGGGTGTGCAACAACACGAGTGAGCTCAATGCCAATGAATTAGACACTTACATGCTAAAATCTATATCATGTATATTTTAACTCATTTTTTTAAAAAAGGTATTGTGTAGTTCTGCAACTTTACAAAGGAAAAGGTAAAGAAGGAATTATCAGTGAGCTTGGACTAAAAAAACCATTCACCTAGATGATGCCAAGCTGAGAAACCATAAGGAGCTGGGTAGCAACACTGCCTTTGTCTTCTTTAACCAATAAACAATTAAATAAATGAGAAAAAAACGCCACTTCATCTCACTTCGGTTCAAAAATGGCGCAAACACTAATCACCTCAAACATTAAAAGGAAATAGCACTCAGGCTCTGCTGAGATTTGACTCTAAGCCCCAGTCACTTCGCTTGCCAACCTGGGTAATCTTCACTGCAACATCAACAGGAGTGGGAGGTAGCACAGATGGGCTGGAGCCTCCAGTCAGCGCTGAATGGTCCAGGCAAGGCCAAGTAATTTCAGTTCAGTTAATCCCATGAAGGTCCGGCAGTGCTATTCTGTCTTAGGTGAAAACATACTTAATTAGGACCTAGGAATGAAGAGACACTCTGGTTCTCCCTCTCCAATCCCTATTTCCCAGGTCTTATGGACAGATCTGCTTCTGGTACCTCATTTTCTCCCTTTTCCTTTTTTGTTTTTCTCCACGGCCACATTTATTGACATTTTTACAGTACCTTGCCACCAAAGAGCTCACCAGAGACGAGTAGTTCTTGGGAAATAAAGAACATCAGTAAAATATTTTCCATCACAGTCACACCTTCAGCCACACAGGCCTTCAAAGGATGAATTCTGAAGTCAGTCCGATACCAAACCTGATCTTCTTTCTATGTCATCGATGGTGAATTAAAATGGTTATTTTTTAAATGGTGATCTGTCTTTTTAAACACTAAAGAGAAGCTAACCAGTCAAGGTATCTCTGCCCCTAGAAAATGTTAAGGTTACAGTTATTAAATCTTACCCCAGCATGGAAAAGAAGTGGACAATGAATGGTTTTATCGGCAGCAAGATAGGCAGGACAAAGGACAGGACTGCCCTGGTTTTGATTAACCAGTGGTTTTACTATAGTAGGTTAGAAACAATCATTTTTAAAATGAAACAAAACACAATACATCTGAGAAGGTAACAACATCTATAATGAAGTGTCCCATTTGGAGGTGCCAGAACCCCTGATGACCCCAGGCAGCTCAGCGGAGGCCTTAGCACATCTTTCACCCATCTCAGGGGTCTCCGTGAACAGCTCTACCTGGCAGTCAACCCCTTGGTATGCGCACTCACTGGTTAATACAGTGCGGAAAGCTACACAGAAAGTTTCCATACATTTGAATTCCTTTTCTGATTCTTAAAAGGTAAGGTATTTTTATTCATTCCGATTGTAGGTTTTGCTGGAATTAGAAACAGGTGGCATGTGAATATTTGGTATTGCCGGCAGTGAATTTGCATCTCAGCAGAAAACAGAAATTTTCTAATCACGAAAATCATATATTGTAATCACCTAAAAAATAGCTTTCAATTTTTCTTACTGAGAAATTTTTTTTTAAGGCCTAAGAATCAGACGTCTCAAGGCCAACAGTTTTCCCACAACCTGTTGTGTAGCAGTGACTACACCAAGTTATTTGGGAAATGCATACAGGCATGTTGACTTTCCCAAAAGGAAACAGTCCACTAAGACCAATCAGGTTTTGGACATCTGCTCTCAATTAAGAATAAATACCTTTATGAATTGATTAAATATTTTCCCATCTTGGTATAATGAAACTGGGTCTTTATTTCTGCCCTATCCACCATCAGCAAGGAGAAGGAAAGGGTATAAAATAAAATAAGCACTGGTGTCCACACACACACACACACACACACACACACACACACACACACACACAAACAATTTAACTCCTCCCCCTACTTTTTATTGGAAAAAATAAATGCTGTCTTCCAATAAGATATTTCTTTCTTTTAAAAATTGTGTGTTTTTTTAAAGGCTAGAGTTCTATTTATTTTTAAGTGAGGCACACAGAGCCTCCCAAGAACAACTTAGATTTACATGTGGCTAAACCTCCAAATGTGAGGGACCACATTTATGCTGTCTATTCCTAACGAGTTCTGTGATTTTTTTTGAGCAACACACATGACAGATAGCAAATTAACTACTACTAGTCAGCAGCAAGTGGCAAAAACTGTCTTGGGGAAGCCAATGTGAGTGAAGCCTGCAAGTCAAACTCGAATCACATTTGCCAGAAACTTGGGGGAGAAAGGTGATAAACCCTGCCAAGAAAATCAGCACAACTTATTTCCCTTTCCTTTTTCCATGGACTATTTCAATGCTCAACCAACAGACACAGCTCAGCCTTTCCTTTCCATGACTGCAAGGAAGGCTCTGGCCCCACTGACAGTCTTAGAAACATTAAAATGCCTCACACTACAAAACGTTAATACCAGCTCGAAAGAGAGCAACAGGAGCGAGGAAGTGTCATGTGCACGCAACATAAGTCTATATTCTGCACAGCCCACCTACAGATGAGGAAGCAGATCTTACCAAACACAAACTGGCCAGATATATTGTAAAGAAAAGGCGCGGGTCAGCACCAGCTCACATCAGAACAATGAACAAAAAAGCTACACATGGCAGAGAAACTACCCAGATCAGTTTACTAACGGCTTAAGAACTAGAGTTTTCAAAGCACTCATTTTCAGTGAGAGACCCATGAGCATACACTCTGGCAAGGTGTTTTTATTGCTCTTCCCAACTGAAGCCAGACAAAATGCAACCATGTCTGCAATTAGGGACCCCAAGCCCATCCCCACCAAAGCTGGAATCTCATGGGGTCCAGCTAGGGCACCAGTGTAGATGAAAATCCTTGGAGATCCCAATGTTAAATCAGCAGTTGAGAGCCACAGCTTTAAAACTATGATACTTAAAAAAGCAGCTAATTTCCCTATCAAATCATCCCAGATCCTACATTTAACGCAAACTGCTCTGCCCAGAAAGTCACGGCCACTGCATCCATCTCCTGTGCCCATGTCCCCTCCCTGGTGCAGAAGCAGGCTGAGTCTGCAGCTCTCCACAGTGGAGATGGATGCTGGCAACCTACTGACCACAGAGGGCAACACAGGCTGGACCCTAGCCGGCGTGCTAGCCCAGCATCTACGTATTTCAAGTGCCTCGGGACAAGCTGCGACGCAAAGCACAAGGACACACGCAAAACAGGATGTGTGCAGGGAGCACGTGATTTTGCTCCTCTTAACTCTGCCACGTGTTAGAATCACCTGGGAGGCAGGGTTCAAACACCCCACTCTCAGAACTGCTGACACTGTGGGCCGTGGACCGTGGGCCATGGGCCGGGTCTGATGACTGGCACTTCTAAAGGTTAGCTCACTTGTGACACTCCACTGCTGGTGCCAGGACCACATTCTATGAACAAGTGTTCAAGATTCAACCTCTGGCACCTCCAAACATTGGAAATACCACAGAGAAACTGGTTCTTACAACATCTGTAGCTGCAGCTGAACATGAAACACTGGCTGCATAACCAAAGCTTCCTTATCTTTAAGAGATATGGGGGGGAGGGGGTAAAGCATTGCCAGTAAAACTGACAGGCCACACAAGCCTCCCTCACCCTTATCCTGAAGTTAGAATTCAATATTCCACACATGTGCATGCATGAATACATAAAAGTAAAACCAAAATTATGATAGGAAAAATAACACAGAGAAGAAACTAAAAAATAAATAAATAAATAAAAAGGAGTCATGAGCATCAGGTTGAGGGCAGCCCTGGGAAGAGCAAGATGCAGCCCCCAGGGAAATCACTCTGACCCATTCATTACCTGGAAGTCGTCCCCAAGCTGGAAGTCTCTTACCTGAATAAGCAGAGAGTCAGCATTTCTGCAGTCAGGTCACCTGAGAACAACAGGAGAGAAAGGAAAACTGAGTCAAACAGCGTTAAGAGTGAACTGAAGGGCTGCACCATGGGCTATGGCTTCAGTGCACTTTTCCGTCTTCTTCGAAGGCTTCTAGAAAGACATCTGGAAAGTTGTTTATTAATCTCTGGCATGGTATCCTACTGTTCTAGAGCCACAACAGGGTCTTAGATAGAGCGTGAAATCCTCCCGTCCCGGAGAAGAGACATGGGTTTAGCACCAGCTCTGCTAGTCCAATTCGAAGGCATTATAAGGGAGCCATTAATCTTTCTTGGCCTAAACTCATGATCTGGAAAATAAGGGGTGTCAGATGTTCTCTAGAGTGACTCCCAACACCCACAGACTGTTAGTATGCCTGGAAAATGACGAATCCTGGGATAAAAATCAGAAGAAAGGGAGCCAGCACAGACACTAGATCCTAGGTCGTTATTTTACACTGCTTACTTCATTTAATCTTCAAACCCATTTTGTAAAGCTACTGACAAGAACACCACCAGCTCCAGACAAAGGGATCGGCTGTGAGTATGTAGTCGAACTAGCAGTGGCACAGCCATCGATCAAAACCCTCAGCTGGCTGACCCGAAAGGATTGTTTCCTCCCACTACACCATGGGCCATACCTTGTGTGCCTTCCTGTTGCCGGTGCCATCATGAACTTTGTCTCCAGGACTTACAAAGTACAAGATTACAGCAAAGATCAAGTTTGTTTTCTGTGCCCAACCTTATCTTATTAGAAAATCTAGTACTTTGTGAAAAGACTTTTGATTTCAAAATAATAACCCAACAAGTGGGCACAGCCATACCTATAATCAATGCCAGCACTCTGGGAGGCTGAGGCAGGAAGATAATGAGATAAGAGCCCACCCTACACAATTTAGAGACCAGCCTAGACAACTCAGGGACTTAGCACCTCCTCTCAAAATTTAAAAAAAAAAAAAAACTTTTTTGTACCAGGGATTGAACTCAGGATCCCAAGCTTACCAGGCAGGTGCTGCACCACTGAGCTAAATCCGAGGCCCTCAAATTTTAAAAAATTTTAAAAAGAGCTGGGTAGAATGTCCAATACCAGAAAGTAGAAACATCCAACAAAATTAGCTTACAACATTTCTAGGTAAAAGTCTACATTTTTCTTTTTCTGTATTAGAAAATAATAATTTAAATAATAATTTAAAAACCACAGAGTTTATAACAGCAAGTATGTCTTGATACAAGAAGGAAACTTGGGAATTTTGCTATCCCCTAATATTTTTAGAAGCTGCACCCCAAGTACTTATTTTCTAAACACCTAATTCCAAAAGCAAAGTTCTTAGTAATTCATGAAAGATTCAGCTATGTCACAGAGTGGCTTCTTTTTTTAAGGAGACATAACTGTCTAAGGATTGGAAATACACCGCATTCCTATCAGCCCAAGGCGGCAAAGCAGCTGCAGGGACTCGAGGTCATTTTTTTCTCCATATAGGAATGCACATAACTGGCGAAGCACATGTGTCCAGTGAATCAGGTGGCAGGGTAAGCTATTAGATCAGTGGTCCGATCTAGGACACAGCTGCTTGGCTCGCTCCAGGCTTAAAATAATTCAGCATTATCAACCTCACCCATTAAGTACAATTAATGTTATGAAATGGAGAAAATAAGCATGAGTAAATAAAATGGCTGACACATCCCATACACAGCAGAAAATACCAACTGTGCCAGGCAGCAGCCGCCGGATTTGCCACTGACCTCAAGGTGCTAATGAGGGAGTTCTGCAAGGACTGCATTCAAAAGCATCCTATACTTCCCTGGCCCTAACCCCAATCCCAACTTTTCTCCCACATCACAGCAGGAGGGCCTTGCTAATTGGAAAGTGGCCTGAAATTTGTTGCAGCAGCTCATATCTCAAGAGCATCCTGTGCTACACACACACACACACACACACACACACACACACACACACACACACTCAGATTTCTTAGCTTTTTATCAAACCCAGATGGACCCAATAAATGTAGTTTTTAAAATTCAAGTACATGTGTGTGTGGTGAGTTTAAAAAGAGAGAAAAAAAAGGTGGAGATGGTTTTTGTAAGCATAAATCTCCCCGTAAGACCAGTGGTAATGACCAGAGATAAGATACAACAAAGACATCTACTGAAAAGAGACCCTCTAATCACATTAGCTTGTAGTTCTAAAGGAAGATGGTTGCTCTGAATTTCCCTTTATACATAGCAACTTCAAAAAAATCCCTATTTTCTTAGTACATCTTTATGTAGGAAAGCCTTCATGCCTTTGAAGGCTCACACAAAACAAACAAGAGTCTTTACAAGTCCTCCCTGACCACCCAGGGAGAATCAAATAGTATTTTTTTCTCTGGCAGGCCACCCCAGGATACCAGGAATAAAAAGGAAAAGGAGGAATTCATCATGTAACCAAGATGTGTTTTTCTAGCATAGTTATTATACTGTTTTAATCTAAATATTATGGTATATTTTTCAGTAGCAAAGGCCATCAAGATCTAATTATTTGTTTATTGGACAGAACAAGTTCTTGAAACGTAGAAAAATAGGTGAAAATACGGGAATAGCTGAGAGACGGAAGATGGAGGAGTCTTCTGAGAATCCCCGGAATGGAGCAGGGGGTTTGAGAAGCCCTGTGTTCGGAACGGCCGGAGGGCGGAGCAGGCCTCTGTGTTCCTGAGTACAGAAACCCTGCGAGCACGCTCAAGGGTTTAGACTGCGCGAAATCTGGGAGCCCGGTCTCCTCGGCTTCACATGGAAGAGCTCAGGAGCGTGAGTTTGCTGGAACCGTAAGAACGTCCTCCAGTCATAAACATGCTAAAATGCAATCCTCCCATCGTGCCTCCTCTGCACAAAATCTCCATTTGGGCCAAATAAAGACCAGACCCTGCAGCCAGACACGAAGGAGCCTCTTCTGTCAGACCCAAGCTTGACTTCCTGCTGCTACCATCTGGGCCCCTGCACTCCAGCCCCCTGCTGTCCCTCAGACATGTCAGCTACTGCCACCCTAATGGTCCTGTATTCACTTGAAATACCCTGCTGTCCTCATCTTACTATGGGCTCTGGTTTTAAGGTGTGAACTGAGGTACACAGACCTCCTCCTGAATCACAGTGCTGCCACTAAAATGCTGCGTGGCTTTTGGATATTTTACTTCACATCTCAGTGTCTTCATCTGATAAATGGGGTAGTAAAGAGACTGGTGTCCACTCTGGTGAATGTTAAATGAAATGAGAACACCAATCAAGGGAAAATGTTAATGGTGTTGGTTGGCCCTCCCAAGCATAAATGCCCCCTGTGGTCGGAAGGCTTCCTTAACACATGCAGCCCCAAATCATCCCCCAGCTGCTCTCTAAATCCCATGGCACTTTGACAACAGCTGTGTCTGGTTTCTGGTCACTCCTTACTTGTTTTACTACCCTGTCTCTATGTGTCAGCACACCTAGCAAGCAGGTGGCTTTCACTGGGCAGAGCCATTTCATGCATGTTTGCATTCTTCCCAGTGTCATATACGCACACACTGTAAGAATCTCAGGATTCTTGAATCAATAACACCTTTTAAATAATCTAGGCCAGGGGTGGCAAGCCCATGACACACTTGCTCAGCAGGCTGTTTGTATCACTGAAAGTTCTAAAAGGCTTGCCATCACTGATGTAGACAAACAACACAATTATAGAAAGAAAACTGAATCCACGTGAGATGAAGAAAAATAGTTCATCTTACATGATGAGTGAATGAATGGGTGGGTAGATCACTAGGAGCCATGGAGGGATGGAGGGATGGAGGGATGGACAAGAAAATACAGGGAGGGACATGCCAACCCGCAATCAGCTAGAGCACCCAAGATATTGGCAGCAACTCAACCCTTACAGGGTGGTCCACCAACCTGCTTCTTAATAGCATCACTATTCACGCTTTTACCTGCCAAACTGTTTAATGACATCTCGTTCGAATTCTTTATGAAATCCATATCGAGAAACTCCATACACAGGGACTCGAACCCAGGTACAGTGGCGCATGCCTACAATCCCAGTATGCTGGGAAGCTGAGGCAAGAGGATCTCAAATTTGAGCCCAACCTGAGCAACTTAGAAAGACTCTGTCTCAAAAATTGAAAAATTAAAAATGGACAGGGATATGGTTCAATGCAAAGGCCCTTGGTGGTTCAATCCCCAGTACTTTTTTTTAAAATTGAAACAGTATTCCTTTTTCATGTCAAAATTTCACAATATAAAACAGAATTGTACTCCAAACCTTTCAGAGAAGCTCAGCTCACCTTCTCCTTCTGCCACTTGTTCATGCCACAGGTTTGACTGAGTGACAAGGCCATGTGCCAGTCATGTGCTTGTCCCCTGGAAAGCCCACAGACGGACCATCCCTGTGAGGCACTCCCAGCCCTCTGCCATCTCCTGCTCTTCTCGTCCCTACATTAATATCCCTACATGAATGCAGTAAAGTGCAGTACCAGCATGAAAAGCCCCATCCCAGAGACAATGGGAGAAATCATGCAAGGGCAGATTACAGAGCACTTGGCCAACACATAGGTTTGAAGGTCTGAGACAGAGGAGCCATCCCCTTCACTCTATACAGTCAGAAAATGTTGCAAGCCTTTCTAAAGGAAGGAAGTTCCTAGGGCCTGGGGTGCTGGAAGAATTTCCCAGAATTCTGGGATTCTGGAATTGCCTGATGGGCCACATATATGACAGCCTGGAGGACACTCTGTCACTGTGCTGAGTCATGTCCCTAAAGGCCCCAGACATCTTAGAACTTTTGAATGGACCAGAAATGTGGATAGCACACCAACAAGAAAATGTGGGCTGTAGGACCATTGGGACCAGAGATAATCTCTAGAAAGGGGATTCACGGCAACTGATGCCAATACGCACAAAACATCCTCAGGACAGCCTCCAGCCGTATTCCTGGTTTCAGTTACCTGCTGTCTGAAAGTGTAGGAGAGAGACCACATTCACATGACTGCTCTGTCTTATT